AGACTACGTGCTCTTCCAGGCAATCAACTCATTTGCCGGGCCTATGCCTCAAACCAGCCCCACAGTGGTCTTGTACCTCTGTGGAGGTTCCAAAAGCCAAAGAGAAAAGTAATATTTAAACATTTAAAGACTATGCAGAAAGCTGTAGTGGCTATTTTTGGATGTATATTTTCTCCCTTCTTTTGTTGCTTCTAAATATCAGCCATATACCTTATCTATCCCAATCCTCCCACTGTTGTTATCACCATTATAGCTGAACAACAATATGAAAGCTAAGACAAAATTACTATAGAAATAAACTTTGGCAGACCTTTTCCACTCTGTTCCCGTCCAGGTCTGACAGACACTGCTTTTTTGGTGTGCTTAATGGCATAGGTTGCAACAGGTTTCACAATCTTTTTGGAACAATGCAAATTACCACCACCTACTATGCCTTCTGAACATAACAGATATAAAGTAAGCAAAATTATCTCACAACCAATAGCTGTACTTGCTTTTTTGTGGTTGGGTTTGGGTTTTTTTAATGGAAGTGTGGGAAGTACTTGACTGTGCATTTCTTTTGCACTGGTGGCTGCAAACATTCTCAATACAGCCAAGAGAAAGGAGCTTTGGTACAATTAGATGCCCAATTGCTGGGGATTAAAGCCTCTCCCAGTGCTTAGTGTTATCTTCAGCTTCCTATTCCTGAATTAGATATTAAACACACTAAGGCTGATGAGAGAAACACTCAATGCTGAATCTTCTTTCACTTGTCTACAGCACTACAAAGCACCCAACGCTGCCTTGTGTTCTCATAGATGCCACTTGGCCAGTACATTCCACAGGTCTGTGGTATTATTACAATCCAAAAAATGACACAGAAACCAGTCCCAATTCCACCTAATACAAGAACCTTTTCTACAATGACCCAGCACTTTCTCACTGTGTCAATCAAACAACTGTTCCATAGCACAATACGGTCAACACTGACTGAAGAAAGAGAAACTAGTCCTAAAAGTAAAACAGTCTATATCCCAAGACCACACCTGAGAAAAATAATTTTATTTAAACACCACGAACCTTCCAGAGCATGCTCCCCACTGGGTCAGATGGCTTCCCCCTGCCTCAACCAACTATATACATATATGTATATGCATATGTACCCGTACATAAAATATCTCAAAAGTAGCTAAAGACATTAAGTAACATTTAATAATTTTTTATTCATCTTCATTTATCAGCCCAGAACTTTGAAAACTTAAACTACAAGCTGTCTCCAATGAGATAGCCCTGTTCAAGTATTGTGAAAAGATTTGTTCCTGAATTCTTCAAGCCTGAAGAAGTGTTGGCATTTACAAAGAGCAAGGAGGAGGAAAAAAAGGAAGAAAAATTGCATCAGTTCTGCTGAGCATTTGTGCAATTAGTTTAGTAACTGGACCACAATGACAGGCCCTTTCTTGCTTGCAGTTACAGTCAAAGGTAGAATTAACAAGTTTTGAAATGCAGTTTGCTGTTCTGATTTAGTAAAGTTTTCCAGAACCTGGTGACAGCCTGCTCACATGAACTGAAGGATCCCCAGCTGTCTTCTCAATCATAAATAAATACCATATCCCTCACATAGCAGCTTTGAGCAATATTTCAAAAGCAGGAGTTGCACAGATGATTCAGAATAGGGAGTGAGGAATGTAAACTCCATTTTGAAAACTTTTGGTCTACTAAACCCTCTAATACTCCACAAGACATGTCAGGCTCTGTCTTGAACAGGGGTTCTTTACCAGCTAATAGACCATGTTTATTGGTTAGGTTTAATAACATCTTAAGTGCTTAAATATTAATAGGCTTGCTGGACAAGTCATGTAGGACTGATGTCTCTTCTCACTTCCAGCCTGCATTGGAGTCAAGTAAAAGTTGTGGCAACTTAGACTGCTTTTCTTCTGCCAGACTTATGTATTAACTTTGCTAGAAGCTGCCTCTGAAAAAAACTGCGATACTTTCATGGATTACTTTAAAGAAGAAACTGTCTAACAAATTAATGAAACATTTGGCAATTACTTCTAAAGCACAGTGGAAAGCTGGATGGAGATGAAAGTGGAAAAATAAGCAAACTATTCCATCTTTAAGAAACCACAAAAGGAGGGAAAAAAGTAACCAACCTTCTGGAATAGGAAATCCTGGCTTATTCAGAATAATCTAAGACTATAGAGGGAGACAGTCAGTAAAACCCTTTAACAGAATAGCTTCCTAAGCAATTCAGGAAACACCTTTTTTCACATACCTCCCTCTCCCAAAGGCAGCAAAAATCCTGACTAATTATGAGACCAAACAAAAGAGCTTGCAGATTCCAGCTGATTATGGGAATGATTTATTGCAACCTACTGGAAGAACACTTCTAAAATATGACTATCTGAAAAAAAATAAAACAGCAGAACTTCTCCTATTCTCTTGGAAAAACACCAGCACAGGCAACCACATTTCTCCAACTTGAAATATGTTTGCAACTGTCTGACTGGCACATTCCTTCACACTTTTCTTCATCTTTTGTTCACTAATGTTGCTAACCATTGGATAACCAGTACTTGGTGTACCTATGCGTAAACAAAATAATTTCAGAGCTGTTGTTAAGGATGCAGCTGTTTAAAAAGATACAAGCTTGCAAAAAATTCCCTATTTTCAAATAACTGATACAACTTAAGGGAGTTGTATCACAAATATTTATAGCAACACAATGTCTGAGTTCAACCGGAAGGCAGAAATCAGTTAGAGAGATATTTTTATTTAAAATACCAACCAACGGTACAGGACATTACATCATCCTGTCTAGTTTGCACACTATTTTAAGTGAAAGACCACATTCCACTCTCTCAGATCACATACCCAAAGGCACTCCTATTTTAGCTAGAACACAAGAACAAGGAGTTTTCCACTGAAGCAAAAGCTTTCCGAAGTCTCTACATCCCTATGGCAAGACTATTTCTCCAAGAAGTAAGTGCAGCAACCTATCTCTCTGGCAATTATTCTGAACAGCAAGACAAGATTTAAGAGAGGACATTTCAACACATTCAAAATGGGCACAACTCTTCAAGAAGAGCTGAAGGAAGACAAGAAAAACTTCTATAAGCCTATCAGAGATGATCTGGATGCCAAATTAGTTATTTGCCACAGAAGCTGACCTTTGGGTCTAACAAAAAGAACCCTGTGAGTTTTGCTAAAACATTTCAAAAGGAGAACTGTTCAAGTTACAAGACATTAAGACATACACATTCCTGCTCCTGGAGCTTCTGATTTGTTAAGCAACCACTGAAGGCAATTGATATTAAGTAAATAATTTTGTAACTGAAATGTTGCAAGTGTACTGACACCCTTCCTGAAGTTACAAGAACCAGAGACAAGAAACGTGACAAAAACACATATGACATTGTTTTGTGGTAAATCACATATAAAATTGTAAATTTGTTTGATCAAAATGTATTACCTATTTGTAAATAGCAACTATTTTTGAAAGCATGTATCTTTTTTACAGAGTTTTACTTAACAACTACTCTAAAGCAGGTTATTTTGCTTAATATTTTGTTTACAGATGCAACAAGTATTAGCTAGCATCCTTGTGCAAAAGTCCCAGATAAAAAGTTTGCCACATGGAGGTGTGTGGGAAAAAAAGTTTTCAAGAGCATCACAGCCATAAAAAGAAAAGAAAAATAAATAAAGAAAATCTCAAATCCAGATTTTACAAAGTCAGGACAGTATGGTGACGCATGCAGAAAAAGCAATTCTACAGTCCACACAATAAAACTTCCAAAAAAATAACTAATTTTAACTTATGTAATCTTTGTTTTAACTGAGGAAAAATCCATAAATAGTAGTAAATCAGTGTCAAATGTAAAAGAAAATCACACAAAAAGAAAAGCTCTATAAACTCTATGTAAAGATAGAAGGCCAAGCTACTGATATTTAGCAGGACTATCTTCAGGATTGTGGACTGCAACATGAAATGTTGGTTAACTAAGCAAAACCCCCAAAATTAGAATGCCATTTTCCTCAAAACCCTGCCATTAACCAAGGCTATTCATCCTCTCAGCTGTGGATTATACAGCTGTTATTAACAACTTTCGAAAATGAAAAAAAATAATTTCATTTTACTTCTAACACAACATGTAATTTTCTCTCACTATTGCTTAAAGCATCTGAGGCCACAGGATAGCCCTCAGTAGTACTTAATATCACTGAAAGGTACAGTTTAAAGAGTCAGAGCCACTGAAAATGAAAACACTAGTACAGTTTTGCATCTTGTCTCTTTCCATTAAAATTCAACACCCTTCTACAAGTGCAGTGACTTGTTCCAACATAAGAGAGATGCTGACATTGCATGGCTTAGAGTGTCATACTGCCAAACCCTACACCCTGCTAGACCACATCAAATTAGACTCTGACCAACAGTGGCATTCACAATTCGATTGTTGCATTGCCCCCTCACTGGTGCTTTTCATTAACATATCTCTCTTTCATACAGAGCTGTGCTACTGCTGTTTGCTTCCCATGTCTGCCCCAGCATGGGAATGGGTCAGAAATTAGTCAAAAGCAGCCATTTCCACCAGCTGATAGTGCTCCTCCACCCAGAAAGTAAAAAAGCATAACTCTTCTGCACTGGAAATCAGGGGGAAGATTTTGGTATAAGAGCAATGAGAGGGGAAAGGAGGTCAATGCACAGGAGCTGTAAGGAGCACCCTGTGAATCCAGCACCATTCCATGCTGCAAGCTTTATTATGGGAGGAATGATCATCACATGAGAGGGGAAAAAAAAAATAGAAAATCATTATGATAAAACATTCAAATGGCATTGGTCACTGTTACCCAGACACTGGATCAGGCATTTGTAAACTCTCTCTATCCAGCTTCCCTCAGAGTTGCTCTAGATTCACAGTGTGAGTGTGAACAGCAATTTTTTTTTAAAAAAACAGTCTAGTATTTGCCATACACCTGCACCCCCACTCTTCCTTCCCCATTTAAAACAAAACAAAACTTACCTGCTTCTGGATCTGGAGGAATCCTCCACATATACAAATTGAAGTCATCAGAGCCCGAAAGGATGTACTGTTAAGAATAAAAATAAAAGCAGTTTATGATAAAGTATCACCTGAATTATGCTATTTTAATATTGATCTACTTCCTCCAAACCAAAAATGAGCAAGAAAGGATAATTTGCATCATTCTTTTCACCTCACTGATCTGTTTACATTTAAATGGGAATGAAGTACCAGCACCAAAATGTTGCATGCACAAATGGACCAAAAGCATACTTCATATATCTAATGCCTACTGCCCAAAATGTATGTTTGCTTTGCTAAATAAGGCTATGAATTTTGGTTGGCTTTAATATAAGTATGCCTAGATCTAGATCATACTCTATTTTGCAACCTGCAACTCTGGTCTTTTTTTGATGTCCAAGACTTTCATAGTTTTTTCTAATCTCCTGAACTACCAAGGAAAACTCCATCAAACACCTACCTAGGAAGAGAGCTGCCATGTCCATTACACACAAGCATGTCCATTACTCATCAAGCCAGACATGTCTACCAAGACCATCAAAAGTCAGTCACTGAGAATAATCTTGAACACTAAACAAAAAACAAAGCTAAACATTCACTGTCAGCAAGTCTCAAGTGGTTTAAAGCCCCCCCATGCCCCCTCACATTTATCACACTACTCATTTTTTTCCTGGTCATAGTTTCTCTGAAGAGATGGAAGGCTGCCCTTTTTCAGCAGTGCACAAATGATAAACAATCTCTTTATTGTGCAGTACTTCAGGCAATATGCAATTTAAAGTAGCTTAATACACTACAAGCATGCACTGGAATGACAGGTGACATTTGATGTGGCAAAAAGCTTATGCCTCTCAGTTCCAAGAGGCCACAAACTGTGCCTTACCTCCAAATACTTATTCTCCAATAAATGACAGGGAGTACAGTTTATTTCTCTCCCAAATTAGAGATTAAATGACACGTAGTGGAACCAATGGCAGATTCCAATTCCAGTTATACTGGTGTAGGCAGTGTAAATCTCTGTCCCTCCACTAATGTTAGGCTGCAGTTTAATCAGTGCAGTCAAGAAGCTGGGTTTTACATTTTATTATTATTATTAGGTATGGGGAAAGGGAGAAAAGTAAAGAAATGAAGCCAGTTTGTCCCTTTTCTGACCTTTGATGAGAGACAAATTCTGTTTTGCTTGGCTCAAATATAACTGGTTTCTGCCTTTCATTCTTCAGGGAAATAAAATCATCAGACAAAGTAACACCAAAGCAGTTAGGAGACAAATTCTGGAATAACACATGACTGAGAAGCAAATAAAAAATATACACTATCATAGAAAAAATAAAATGGCCATCCATTTGCATAAATTCTGTTTGCAATGCTAATTCCATTAGTGCAGTGTTTGTATATTTCTCTTCATGAAAATGCAATAACAAACCACTAAAATCCCTTCTCTGGTTTCCTGCTATCATAATCCAAGCATTCTTTTTACCCCTCATTTTTAAGAACGCAGGATGTGAGTAAGCACTCATGAATGCAATTCTGTTCATTTTCTGACAGGTAAGAAGCACTGATCAAACAAAAGCTCCTTTAAAAGCTTGTGCACACTAGTACAGAATCACTCACAAACCCACACTTTCCAAGTCAGAAAGTTATTTCTATAAGCCAACATGTTCAAGCACTTAGGCAATTTACCTTCCAAACCGACCTGATGGTGCCAGGAATATGTGCTTCCCGTTTCATTTGACTGCTCATAAATGTTAGCCCACAGCAGGCTGAGCCTCTGTGCCAAAACTCCAAGGATTAGAGCTCATATAGGAAACATCCCAGCAATTAGAAAGAAAGCACCTCTAATATGTTTTGTTAAAGAAAGGCTGCGTGGAAAAAAAAAGTCTCATTTATATAGAGATGTTGCCAATTGTTACAATTTATTACCAAATTATGCTGTTGAAGCAGCAACTAGTTTGCCAAGGACATGTGACTAAAAACAGACTTTAAACTAAAACACCTAGAAAATCTTGAATTTATGACCATGCCTTTATTTATTTATTTTTACATATCATAAACCAACAATGATAGGGCCCCAAAGTGACAGATTTCAGATATCCTGCATGAGGTACACAGGACAGAAAAAACACATTATGTACGTGCCAGGAATGAAGTGCATGTGAGAACCTTCAAACCTGCTTCCAAAAATTATTTGCAGAGGAACACTCTGTGTATCCTGTAAGACTCAATGGTCAATTGTGCAGGAAATCTCATGTGTCACTGCCCACAGAGCAATGTACTACCTGCAAAGACCATTGACCCCAGTATGCTCTGTCTTGCTTTGGAGATAGCAAAATTTAGAGTGCCCTTGCATTGATGGGTAGTAACAGCAACTTGATGCACTGTCAAGAGTGTAAACAGGAGGTCAAAACAAATGATTATTCCTCTTATCTGGCATTTTTGAAGCCACACCTGGGGTATTGTATCTGGCTTGGGTCCCCCAAAACAATAATGATATTAACAAATTAAACAGAGAGTGGACAAGAGGGCTGCTGCAGCTGAAGGCCCATGATCTGCAGGGAAAACCTAAGGGAACTTGTTTCATTTAGACAAAAGGGAAGGGACAGAGTGGACCTCAACAATTTCCCACTTTTCAAGGGAATACTGAGCAGGCAGAGACAGACTCTTCTCACAGGCATGCAGTGGATACCCAGGAAGCAACAGTCACAAGTCACAGCAAGGGAAATTCCTGAGCACAAAGGAACAGCAAGTTCAGGAGCATAACAAACACTGCAACTCAGCCCCAGAAAGATGATGGAATCTCCACTCTTGCAAACTCAAAATTTACCTCAACAATTCCCTGAGCAATCAGATCTGACTTTGAAGATGCTCTGCTCTGAGAAGCAACTAAAGTCAGGTGATTGCCAGAGCTCTCTTCTGACTGATTTTTTTTCAAAGATTACCAGCATAAAAAGGGAAATAATTGTCTTGGTGGATTAGGGTTGGGCTTTGGGTTACAGGGGGAGGGGAAGGAGGAGGGGAGAAGTGAACAGTGTCAGGAAAATGCCCACCTGAAACCTTCATGCTCCATCAGACATCACAGGTTCATCAAAGTACTAAAGGCAAGACAGGCCAGAGTGACAGGATCTGCAGTTCAGCACATGGACTTGCATAACTTAAAGTGGTCATAATTTGGGGAATTTAAAGGAAGAAGTTGACAAAGTACCTTAAGATGATTTATAGAATCATAGAATGGCTGAGGCTGGAAGGGACCTTTGGAAGTCATCTGGTCCAATCCACCTGCTCAAGCAGGACCACCTAGGAACTGACTTCCTAGGATGTGTCCAGAAGGCTCTAGAGTATCTCCAGTGGCAGAAATATTCAATCCAATCCTACCTACTTAAAAGGAACATGAAGTCCTTCACTTCATTACCATTTTCAAGCCTAATGACATTTGCACGGATCAAACACACTTGACTAATGCATTCTGGAGTGAATTAAGAGAAAATAAGTAAGAATGAATTAAACATCTGCAATGCAATTATGTCCAGCCACAGAACAAGCTCAGCTCAGGATGTGAGCTGAAAAAGTACTTATGGCTTTAATCTTGACACAAGACAGCCATTAGTAAATGCCAAAAGCATTAACTGATAAAGTCATGTACACAAGTTTGATGTTGTAACCAATGTGCTGTGAGTAGTGAACTTTTTATATAAAAAAATTAAATTTTATCTTGATGGTTAGGTCTGTCAATAATCAGCATAAATTGATCATATTCCACAAAATATCCAAGTACTTTCTATCTCTGCCATTACACTGCCACTGCTGTAGCAGCCAGCATTGTTTGCTGCTCTCTTTACCTGTAAGGATACCTTTGGGGTACTTGTTTTCCTCCTGTTCTCACAACATAGAATTGAATTCCCAAATGCATTCCTTTTGTCTTTTTCTGTAAGACCAGGTGATATGGGTCTGACAAGTAGAAACCAGCTTTTCTGGTCAAGATTAAGAGACTTTCAGAAGAACAACCTCATGACTGAAGCCATTGCAAGAACAATGGGCCACATGAAGCTTCAAGGGTGGACACCCAAGCTGCCAAAGTCAGAATCACACCTGATGTCACCTGCATGACATTTGGAAAACAACCCTCAATTCCAACTAGTACTCTCTGCCCAAGACTATCAGAACCTAAGGCCTCTAGAGACCACAGCTGGATTGAAGTTACATTTACAGGACATTTACAAGACTATTTGTGATTTTTTTCTTTGATATATTCATTTTTAATACAACAATAAGCCAATAGTTTAAAATAGTTCACAGTTGTAGAATAAGGATTAAGAAAACTAAAGTCAGTCCCTACTGCTAGAAAAGTCAAAGAAATAATTACTGTTAAATTCACCAAACTCTAGCTAGTAAGGCTCAAATCCTGAGAGAATGGAGTAGACTTTTTTAAAATGAAGGAACAGAAAAGAAAAAAATAGAAGGGCTTGAGAAAGGGTAGATGAAAGACAGTCATCCTGCATATGGTTAGACTCCACTTTAATTGTGAACAAGGATTTTTGGTCCTGAGGGGATAGATTCCTAGCAGAGTACCTTCTATTCACTCACTTAAAAGAACAAAAGCCCAGATAATCAAATCACAGAGGCAAGCCAGGGGGAGGCAAAAACATGTGCATTCACAGAGACAACTAAATAGCTAAGACATCAAGCTCTGTCCTCCTCCCACTCTCCCCCTCAAAGACAAACTCAAGCTGAACAAAACCTCAAGAACCACTGCAGTGCTGAGTTAGGAATCAGACCAGACCCTGCATGAGGAGCTCAGATGTTTGGGGGGAACAGACCAATATTAAACCCACCTGTTTCATTGTCTGCCTTTTTTTCTACTGTATTTGACCAAGACTTCAGATTACCAACATTTACAATATTCACACAAATACAAGATTAGACAGAAAAAACACTTGCTGTTAACACTGGAATTTTTTAGAAGGCCAGAGTCAGCTTCTATGCCTAGCTGTTAGCAACAATGACAGGAAAAGGCTTCCAGATGACTATGAGCTGCTGATTCAGAAGTTTGCCTTA